GTAGCGTAAGTAGCGGGGGGGGGGTGGGGGGGGGGAAGAAACTGAGAAAACAAATATTTTAAAGAATGAAAAATTTAAAACCTCCATGGTAACTCTTTCTGATGCTTTAGCAAACTTCATGTTCCTCATTTAGGGTTTGGAACTGCTCAAATTTGGCTGTTGTGGTCTGTGAAACACGCGCAAAGCGCTTGCGGTGCCATTACACATTAATGGCGCCCCAAAAGCAGCCGGGAAAACACGCGGTTTTCCCATGCATAAAAACGTGCACAAACATGCGAGGGAAAAAGCAGTGCACATGCAGCAGATTTTGCTACAAGAGCTAATTTTCCCATGTCTGGCACGCATATACGGCACTCATTGAAATCAATAGTGACGTGCGCCAAACAAATGTCCACCAATGCATGGGAACGCAATGCACCCAGATGGGCGTTCCCGCTAGGAGATGGTGTGAACAGAGACTAAAAGGAAGATCTTGAGGCATTCTGACACTCCAAGTGCTTTAAACCAACATCATGGAGTGCTACAAATAAGACAGCGATGTGCTACAAATACACTTTCAGGTTCATAATAATCTCAACATGGAAATATATAAAGAAAGAATATAAAGCAGAAAACCTATCACAGTAGGAAGCTATGACTCAAATGTCTAAAGTGGGCTACAGCACGATCCAACTATAACCTGGCCCAGCTGAGGGCATAACTAGGAAGCCAAGCATTCCAGTTTAGACTATCCAAGAGGGAGCCTAGGCTTACGAGCTGCCCCACCACCAGTTCACTGCTGGGTTAATAACAGCAATACGACGAGTTTTCTAACCTGATCACTTTCTTCTCCTATATCTGTCAGCCAGGAATGTCTGTTTGACTTAAACATACTGCCTGACCTATGAGAGTTAAAGTGAAATGAGCATCATCAAGAACTAACCTTATACTGCACCTGTTCAAATAAATCTGAATGTACTTTGTGTAGAACAATCGTCAATGCAAAAAACCTGCTACATATATTCCTTAAGCCTCCGTTCACACCTAGGTGACGGCGTTTTTTCACACATTTTTGCCTAGTGGTTTGTGCACGTATACATGCGTTTGTCAAACATTTTCAGGCTTTTTCAAAAACTTGTGCGCAAAAAAGCACAGTTTACAGGCATTTCCATTGAAGTCTATGGGGGGAAAAGCGCAGAAATCTGCACAAAAGTAGCTCCTTTACTTTTTCCAGTGACTGAACTCTCCGGTGTGAACAGGGGCCATAGAAAACAATGGGATTCATTATATTCAGCATTTTGTACCTCAGAGCTCGGAACCCAGGTGTGAATGGAAACTACAAAGTACAAAAAGACAAAGCTAGCGGGAAAGCTTTTAGCGCAGAAGAGGTGCATCCTCTGCTTCTTACCCGCCTGATAGCGAGTTGTAGATTGTACACTTAGCCTGCGCAGCTCTGTTGTTGTCTCTACAAGACAAGAAGAGAAATCTCCCTAATGGGACACAAGATATCACAAACAAAAACCTGATTGGGGATTTTAAACATTCCTTACTTCTCTAAAATGGAGAAAATAAAGGGGAACCCAGGAGCCTCCATACATCACAATACATTTTACCCCAAATGCAATAAATAGAGCGCATGGATGAGGAGATGGGAATGAAAGGGTAGGGAGGCAAATGAAAAGGACTATTACTGACAGCACCTTCAATAATCAGCCCACTCTACAAGCCAGGAGGGCAGTGCCTGCCAGGGCACCACAGCATTGATGGAGAATCCACCACCTGCCAGATGCAGAAGGACTCGCATTACCGACACAAGGGCAATGTGTATACCACTCAGCACCTACTGCAAAGCAGGGCACAAGGGGCACCCACAGTCTGCTCCAGACCATCCAGGGAGGTGAAGGGGGAACAGAGGGAAGTCCACCTACTTGCCACCTACTGATGGGAACAAGGGGGTACCCTCCCAGCAATATATCGCCTCTCTGCTGAAATGGGGGAGCTGTCTGCCTGGACAGCACAATTACAGAGGCAAACTTATCAGGCTGCAGTGGCATGTGCAGGAGGCTCATTTAGTGACAGCCCTGTCAGAGAGCTGGTAGCTGCGAACAGTGTCTATTAAGCAATAACAGGCATATTAAAGGAGAATTATAAAGGCAAGTGATTTTCACTCAGCCTCATAATCCACCCAGCTGTGTGATTGACAGCTGGCTCTGCCCATCTAGAGGCAGAGCCAGCTGTACCCGCCCCCTCCTCCGTTCGTACCTCCAGTCAGTGCTGGGGGATCGGAGCGGGGGAATCCCTGCAGGGAGCCGTGAGTGACGGACACGGCTCTCTGCATGGCCATGATCAAGAAGTGAGGGAGCGACAGTATGTGTTTGTTTATTTCCCGATCTATTGAGTCGACTTGTGACAGTTTCATTGTCATACATCGGCTCGAACTATGAGGTTGAGTGAAAATTGTTCTCCTTTAATGTTTGTGCATTAAAAGGAGAATTATGAAACGAAAAAAGTGACAGTACAAAATCTGCTTCTACACATTTAAAGTTAAACTTCAGAGTAGGGATGCACTGACACCAGTGCCGTGTGTCCCGATTATCAGGAAGTCGGGCGGCGGATCATGATCCATCGCCCAGCTTCCAGATTGCCTGTGAAGCCGGTGTTCTAGTGAAAGAACACCAGCTTCACTTGCCGAGGCTGTCTGGCTTCCTGTCCAATCAGGAAGGCGGGCAGCTTGTCATGAGGTGCCGTCCGGCTTCCTGATTGGCTAGGAAGCCGGCTTCACCAGTTGCTAGGCAGCCTGTCTTTCTGGCCAATCAGGAAGCCAGGTCCACCACTTGGCTTCCTGATTGGAAAGGAATCCAGCTCCATGCTCCTTCAGCACTGCCCGTCAGAAGGAGAAGTCCCTCCGACCGGAAGTTCCGGTATCGGAGGCAAGTATGGGAGCATTTGGGAGAGTACGAGTACTCCTCCAAAACACTCGGTATTGGCACAGATACTAGCATCGGTGCATCCTTACTCCAGAATCAGCAATTATTGTGTAAATATAAGATGGATGTGTATTCTTGCTTGAATCTTGGCGTTTGTGTATTTCTTCCAGATCCATGCAGTAATCCAGTGTGCAACTATGCATTTGTGAAGAGGCTTCCTGTAATACAGACCAGTCACTGCTGCTCTCTCCCCACGTGCAGCGTGACTGGTCTTGTATCCACCCCCTACTGTAGTTATCTGTAGGCAGCGTGTAGTTGGTGGTACTGCTAGGTCCCTCCCACAGCTCCTCTCCCTTCGCAAGTTATATGCAACACAATAATGATGTCAATGCTACGTTTATATGGCAAAATCTGCGATTGCAAAAGGTGTCTGGTGCACACATGTGCCTATTGAGGAATAAAATGAAATGGATGTTTTTTGTGCCCAGGGTTCAGCTTTAAGATTATTCTTTTGCCAGTTTACTTATGTAATTTAGCATAGATGATTTCTATTTTTTACCACCCAACAATAGAAAGTGCTTCATGGTCATCTGACAGTCCTGACGTTCATAATGGAAATAAAAAAAAGCAAAATTAGCTCTGTGAATACCAAGAATAGAAGACGACCCACAAATAGCTTCGCTGGAAACTTTTACAGCCAACACACTGCAGAATTATTTAACTAGTAATGTCATAACTAGAGCCACACGCATCATTCTGCTTTTCACTGCTTTCACCCAGCGCAGCCGACAGGGGTTAGTAATAAGGATGTAGGTACTGTCCATAGCAACTGGATTCAAGACTTCAATTAAGATAAAGGTAAGGGAACATTGGAGAGCTTGCTTAAACAATCCATCAGCTTTTTGCTTTAATTTCAAACACCCAAGAACATTTCAATTGACAAATAGCTAGAAGTGGGGTATTTTAAATAAACAGCTTAAGTATTTGTTATCTTGTTCTTTCGACCTCCAGAAAGATTTGTAAGAAAAAAGGCCAGAGAGACTCCAGCATGGTCCGAATATCAGATTACATAGACTTCAATGAGGAGGCACATTACATAAGACTTGTATCCCTCCCTATCTAAACAAGGACATAACACAGAGCATACTCGCGGCTCAACGCACAGTCCCGGCAAAAGAGAGCAGCACTAAGGTAAGACAATTATTTCTTATTAAATGGGTACATTTTACCTCGCTCACAAGAGACCTGTGGGTGTAGAGAAAAACCATAATAAACAAACACTGGTAGGTGTAAGCTTAGACACCACAGCCCTAACTACAGCCACATGTGCTGAGCTCCTGATACTGAGAGCCGGCAGGACCATGGGACACTGTGGAAGCCTTAAGGAGAAGGACTATCCATTGCTTGATTGAATGAAAGCACAACAAATACCTGCTGCAAAACGACACAAAAGATTGAACTGTTTAAATTTGGGAAATCTGCCTTTTGTCATGTTTGCCAAGTGTACAATAATATACAAGACCCATGATGTGTGCCCAGAGGGAATGAAAACTTACGTTTATACTAATGCCTGCTAACTGGCCCCACAAGTTTGTGATAAAAAAAAGCCTATCAAGGAATATTAAAGCCACCAATATATTTATCCCCTGGACATTGGAATACATTGAAAACAAAGGCTCTCTGTTGTGGGGTGGAAATAGTTACCAGAAGATAAGCCCTCAACACAATGCTGATGTGCCACTCAACAACCCAAGCACTCTCTGCCGTGAACCAAAACTCCCTACCGAGGAGCTCAAAGGTCCCTTAATTCTCTGTACTCCGGGCAACCTGGAGACTTGCTTTTGCAATCCACTGATGAACAGAAAGGCTTATAATAACAAAATTAAATGTTTTTACTTGTTGTCTGCATGTGCTGTAGACTTGAAGAATGCCAGCTGGCTGAGTTACCAGAGCCTATGACAGCAAAGGCATTCCCTTCTTCCAGCACCAGCAGTCCAGCTGCAATGAACTGCTTTGAATTTTCTCCCAGGACTCTGCAGGGGAGTCATCACCGGAATACTCTGCATTCAAACTCAATCTCATGCTTACAGAGGAAGCAAGATGCTGCCGAAAGCTGAAGAAATCTGATCTAAAACTGGCTCAAACTTTTACCTCCTTTCTACTACGACTCTACAGAACGAACACGGAGGCAAAGCAGACCTAGGCTGTCTCAGAAAAGGTTTGTTTCATGCGATTGTTCTATATTTTTCAAATGCTACATTTTTAGAAAAGGAGAAGAAAGTTCGTTGAAAAAGCCTTGGATATTTAGCACACTAGCACATCTGGAAGCTGTTAACCCGTTCTCCGACAGCCAGAACCTAGTCTGCCAGAGCACAATCCAGTAATGGAAGGAATCTAAGCTGCACACAAGGCATGTGAACTTGGGGACCACCAAACATGAGTAAGGTTATTAGCAAATGGAGTGTATATGCTTAATGAGCCTTTATGGATATATAGTATTAGTCATTAAAAGCCACGGCTGATCAGTTAGACATTTATCATTACTTGTGGCTACATCTACTATGGTACAAATGTCTTCTATTTTTAGGATTAAGATCATGGCAGCTTGCATAAACTGAGCTGCTACAAATTTAAAGGCTCTGCTCTTAAGGTTTGTAGGACTACAAAGACTGTATTGTATTGCATTGCATTACCAATGTTTGGCGATTACAATATGGCAAAGGGTTGCAGAAATAGAAGAGCTACATAGCAGACAGTCACTTGAATGATGGGACTTGTAGTTCTCTATCAGCAGCCTACCTTCAATTCGCACCATCTTTTTGTCCTGAGCTACCGACTTATTAGGATCTTTAGAACGGTACGGGTTAAGATCCAATACTTTCTATTCAGAAACCTTCAAATTATCTTCTCAAACCCTTCCTGGCTTGCACAGTTAAGAGCAGTAAAGGAAACCTAGTGCATAGGCTTAGAAAGGTTGCAAGGAACCCAACATCCATAAATTAATATTCATTCCAGTCTTTTCATAACTAAAACATGACAATCTACAGGTAACAGTTATTACAGACACTGAATCAAGTATGGAATGAATGGGTAAAAAGAGTTAAAGGGCATGTGGTTAGATGAATACTGGAGAGTAGAAGGAACACATTCTTCCAACTTATAATGCGATTCATAACTAGTGGAGTGCGTGCTGCCAAAATGGAATTACTTGTATAAGAGATATTTATGGTAATGTACTGAGAAGACAATAGTGATGTGCACTCTGCACAACTGTAATGGAACTTAGACAAGTTGGCAAGTGTTACAGAATTTCTGACAGCGATAGAATAAGCTGGCTGGCAAAACATATTCATATCCCTTCACAGTGTAGAGTACAAAAATACCATAGTGTGATCTGTCTATTCAGGAATTCCCTTGCATGTGTATTAGAACGGATTTGATTCCCTGTAGATTTACACAAACAGAGTGCTTCTGTTACTGCTCCGGTGGTCACAAAGAGCAGCCTCTGCTGTGCCACCTGTCAGTCATTGCTTGGACTACATGAACTCTTTATGTTGGTCACGTCCAAGTGACACTTATCATAACCTACTTAAACATAACATTTTAAAGTGGAGCTGTCATCACTGACAGAAACCCACATTGGTTTATTTAACAGATCAAAAATAATACACAAGGTTTAGGGAAAAAAAATGTTAGAATTAAAGTCTCTCAGGAAGCTTTAACGTCAACCATGGCTGCTGTAAACGGCTAGCAATGTACTGCTAGAAGAAATACACATGCTGACTTGTGGCAGGGCCGGGGTTTTAAAAGTGCTGAAAAGGTAAAAAAAAAAAGAAAGACATTCTAAAGCAGCAAAGTTGGTTAAGAAAATTAAAGCATTCTTCCTGCTCACCAGATCTGTCTGTGGTATAGTGACACTGTGTAACCTTGGCCTTAAATGTTTAAAGAACTATGGGGTCAGTGTTTTTCCCCATAGTTCTCCTTAGGGTAACGGGAGGACACAAACTAGCGTCCACCCGTTACCCTAAGCTCAGTATACTGCGAGCTGTAACTCGCGGTATACTGAGACGCCGCAGCCGGAGCGGATCCCGACATAGATGATGGGATCCGCCCAGCTGCGTGAGTGACAGCTGGCTCTGCCTATCTAGAGGCAGAGCCAGCTGTACCCGCCCCCTGCCCTGTCCGTTCCGCCAGTTGGCGCTGGCAAATCGGAGCGGGGAGAGGGGAATCCAGCCCCTCCCCCCCTGTCACGGCAGAGAGGCGTGACAGGATCGAGAGGCGAGCGAACCCGGTATGTGTTCGCTCACCTCCCGATATACTGAGCCGACCTGTGACAGTCTCATTGTCACAGGTCGGCTAGAACTATGAGGTGAGTGAAAAGCACTCATCTCATAGTTCTCCTTTAAGCCAAGTTGTGTTTTGGATTCATGGCCTTTTAACAGGTAATATATATGGGTGTGCGTGTGTATATGACAAAACACCCATCACATCACTCGCTGCACAGATAAGGGAGAACACTCATTCAAACCCCAAAAATAGTGTCTGGGATGTGTTTCATTGTGTTGTTCCAATGATATATAAACTGTAGTACAATGCACCTAAATTCACACATTAGACTTTTCATAGTCAAACTCCTAATTTGCTGTACATTAAACACTCGGAACTCACCAGCATATACCAGTATAAAAAAAATGACCACTTCGGGCTGCAGCAACTTTTCTTGTTTATTAAAAAGCAGGAAGGAATTAGTTAAAAAGCATTTCCCGGCAACAAGTGAAATCAATTAGTGAGCTACCCTGCAGCTGTGTTGAAATGAGAATGTTCACTCAATTTGCCTTTTCATCAGTCCTATGTACTCCCCCCAACAGCCAGAAACCAAACACGCATCACTTTTTTACTGGCAGATTACTACTCAAATCCTTCATCTCTCTCTGCTTCTCCATCACAAAACAGATTCAGAAATGCTCAGGTTGGTTTGAATTTGATTGGTGGCCATAAGAAGTCTGTGAGCACTCACATTTTCTTATGTTAGACTTTCTGTATGAGTGAAACAGTGTGCATATTAATAGGCCATAACGCCTCAAAAATATACCAGTACTTTCCACGTGCCAAGCAGGGCTACCCCTTGTACCTGCAGCAGTACCCCTGGGGGTACATGGACCATATGTTTAGAACCATTACACTGAGCAACAGACAGGCAGGTTGTGCTCCCTTTATGTAGTTGAAGGTTAAATGGTCATTACACCAAATACTGATGCAGTCAGCAAGGTATAACAAAAAAGGTTAAAAAAAATAATAATTCAGGAATGGCAATATACGCAGACAGAAGATACGTACCAAGTATCTGTAAAGTTAGAAAAGTACTAGGTTAGGGGGAAAAAAACAGCTGATTTTTATTTTTTTTGCCGCAGCTTCACCATCAAACTGTAAGCGGATAAAGTAATCTATTTATGCCATATGGAAGCAATTGCAGTGCTGATACACAGTAAGACGAAGTGAAACAAAGGGGTTTTCACGTGTTAAGTGCACATACAGCACTTTCTGTATCTAGGAGAATGGATTGAGGTTAAGAAGTTACTATAACAGAGAGGAGGAACTATGATAGCCAAGGGAGAGTACAATGGAAACAGATGCTGAGCTGGGTTCACATCAAAGAAACAGACCCATAATCCACCTCTGCAATAATGGTCACCTAAAAGAGAGATGCATATAAATCAGTTTTAGTATGTGCTTGTGATGCAAAAAAAAGGCCAGGACATTACGTGTATGCTAAAATATGCATAACCTAAATTTTCACATCTTGTAAGAGGAAAATGTACAGGAAAATAGAAGTGGGACAATTCTAGGTTTACATACAAAATAACAGTATATGCACGGTCATGTTAGCCAAGGAATCTAAAACCTTTCATAATGGGAAAGGACTATAAAGTTAGGTTTAAATAAATGAATTGTATATAGAAAGTTTGCAGGTCACGTTCCATGGTTTGGTTATTCAGCTGTAACTAAAAGCTTTTGTAGCTTGTAAAACTCCCTGAAACCGATGTGCTTATTGGCCCTATAAAAACAGAAGTCAATAATACTGGTAGAAAACCAGGACTTTATGTAAAATACATGGTTTAATAGAAGGGCGGTAATGCAAAGAAACATTTAAAACCAAAATATATAAAAAAAGAAAAGTACACATATGAAGCAGACCCCTCAGGCCCCATTCACACCGAGGCATTTTGTAGCTTAATAGATCTAAGTGCTGGAACAAGAGAAATCCCATGGTTTTCAATGGACTCTGTTCACGTCTGAGCATTCTGTCCCTTGTAGCCTGACACGTGTAGCACAAAAAAAGTACATGAGCATCTTTTCATGCTGAATCGAGCAGTTTGGCCCCATAGACTTTAATCCCTCATTCACACGACTAAACAGCCGCTCCCAGGAAGAACAGGTGCAGCGTGTGATTTGTACGCAGCAGCCTGTTCTCTTCCTTTGAGGGAGGCATGAGGCAAACCTGTCACCTCAACAGTCTTTTAGCTATGTTCCTGCATCACTGTGGGACCTTAGTGGGCACAGGCACGAATAACTGGGATAAAGGGTGTATGTGACTGGACGCTGGGGCTTTCAGGGCTCTTAGGCCCTAATTGTAAATAAACTGACAAAATAATTGCCATTCTCAAGGAATCAAATCTGCTCATACTAGGAGCTACTTGTATTGTTTTGCTAAGGTGAAATACATCCCTGGGACAAAAAAAACAAAACATTTTACACAGATTTGTTTTCTGCAATTTTGAAATAGTCTTGCTGGCCCAATCCCTGCTGTTACCTCAATATATAGTGACTGGTGGCTGCAATCTGCAAGTGGGTAAATCAATCTCTATTGGTGGTCGCACACATTGAAATTGTTCTGTGCAATAGGCTTTAGATTTAAGTGTGTAGTATAAGGGCCTAGCTGATAGGATATAAAATTAACTGATTGCTCTTTCATTACACATATGTCGGTAAAATGTAAAGCATATTGTACAGAAACTGCACAAATAGACGAACGTGTGTGGCCTGCTTAAGAGGTCTGTGAATTTGTATATTGTTGCAGAGTTCTCCATCATAAAGTGTACAGCAAAACACAGTACAAAACATCTTCTCCCCGTCTCCTATGCCAAACAGACTTTTAGGGGGCATCAACTGCTATGTCCTGCACCCTCTCTCATGCTGGCAGGCATGTTCTTGGTATCATGTACACCTAATATACAGGGACACCTGTAAGGCATTTACTGTATGGCAGATCTCATAATTCACATCTAAAGGATATAATTTGGGTCAGAATTGGCTACATGGGAATACAACTAGTATTTACCATTACTGCAATGGAAAAATATTGTTTAAATTGAATTTGAATTATGCTGTCACTTCCAGGAAGACAAACTGTGCGATTCAAGAACCCCTAGTATAACCAGGCTCTAATAGGATGAGTTAAAAATGTGTTTGGTACGAACACATACACAGCATAAATAAAATCTACATGTATCAGAAACAGATCTAGTTTCCAAATCTGTTGTACCTGCACAGCGCATTCCTGTTTATATAACAAAACTCGGAATTGATGACTTAATACTCTAGAGAATGTCTTTGGGGGAAACATGTTGGCACAAAGAGAGAAGCCGACTGCTCTACCATGTCTTGAGCCAGACCCCCAGCCAAACAACACAAGCAATGTGTGCTGCAGAATTCAGGAGCAATCAAGAGGCAGTGCTGGTGTGCGTCCCCGTCTCACAGATGTTTACAGATATAAAAATGACGACCCCGTGTCTACTGCCAAGAGTTTATCCAAAAGACTTTGAGGACGGGGATCAAGATATTTATTCTTTCTGCAGCATATTTTCATATATTCTGGCTGTCTGACAGTCTACCCTAAACAGCTTTCAACCCATAAGCCCAGGTAAGAACTCATTTCAAGGATGTAGAGAAAAGGTTAGTGTGATCGGCCAAACATCTGCATCACTGCACTTCCCTATATACACTATGTAACCATCCATTTTACGTTTCCTATAGTGTGGAGACACCATATCAGGCCAAATCTCTCATGTTTTAAGAAGAGGAGAGAAAATAGGATGTGGGTTTAAAAGACCAGTTGAGTGTATAAATCCATCTTTAGGTATAACTGCTAAAAAAATAAAAACGACAAACAGGTACACATGCCTATACAGAAAATGGTGGGTCATTGCCCTACTCAATTTTATTAATAAATTATTTCAGGCTACAATTCATTTACAAAGGCCAGTTGTGAAATGTCATCTATTGGATCACTAGACCGGATGGCAATGGTATATTGAAAAACATTGATATCGTCATTTTCTAAAATGGCAAGTCCTGTTGGTAGGTTAAAATGTTAACCAACTTCTTCCATCTCTCAGACTAACACTAGCACCCCCAAAACCTGCTCTACTTGTCATTATCACAACTCTAATTCTCACCAAATCAATAATATGGAATAGTTATATCAGATATTTTTTTTAAATGTTTCAGCACAAGATCTGAACAGACTTTAGAGTAACTTATTGCTTTGTGGCCGTTTCAGCATGTACATTACTACATCAAAGGCAAACATACAGATGGAATGAATCCTACGTTTTTGGAACCAGTGAAACAATTTAATGAAATGTACATCCGTAAAGTTAGTTTCGTACTGAACAGCGAAATCCTGAAATACTTCTGTTTTTGTAAGTAGCAGTAATAAGAAGCACCTTCAATTAAAGTCCATCCAACGCCTCTGGCTGTTTTTTCTTTTGGAGTGATAAGCAGGCATTTTCAAGGCAAACTGGCACATAAAAGAAATGTAATTCACCTCTTTCTTTAGTGGTAAAGACAGCCGGGAGGTTGGATTTCTCCAGTATTCTGCAACACAGTAGGAGGGACTAAGCAGGGCTTTTACTTCATTTCCCTAAGCCCCTGCATATACAGCGATGTGCTATCAATCTAAAGGGCTGTGGGCACTGCTAGACCTGACTATAAACTAATAGGAGTATCAAGGGTACCAGCATCCAAGCTGCTACAAATCTACAACACTGATTTCACTGCAGGAGGAAGAGCCTTGTCACCCTACCAAAGTAAGTGCCTATCCAATGTTTGCACTGGCAGGACTAACGGGTATTTACAAACTGTTTTTGGGGTACAGAGAGCCCAGCCATACTGGTATGGACAGTAGCTCTACCTTAAGACTCTAAGAATTCTGATGGAAGCTCTCTGCCAAAATAACTACTTTTTCCTTCTCTGTTTCAGTTGCCTGGACAGCAGTCTCCACTGGGTTAAGATGGACAGCACCTTGCGGACTTTAGGGGTGTTGCTAATATTTCTGTTTACTGCAGGACACTGTGCAAAAACCATGTCAGAAATCCAGACCGGAGCTTCAAAAAGACTTGCTCGGTCAACAGATAATAATGACGGGAAAAGCTGTGGCTATACATTCATGGTACCCCAGCAGAAAATCACTGGGCCAATATGTCTCAGTACCAAAGGCTCTGCGCCAAACAAGGACCAGATGACTAAGATGGACTTGGAAAACCTTAAAGACTCTCTATCTAAGCAGAGGCGAGAGATGGAGATGCTACAAATTCTAGTGGATGTTGATGGGAATATTGTTAGTGAGGTGAAGTTACTAAGAAAAGAGAGCCGAAACATGAACTCCCGGGTGACGCAACTTTACATGCAGCTCTTACATGAAATTATTCGCAAAAGAGACAATTCCCTTGAAATCGCTCACCTGGAAAACAAAATCCTCAATGTAACGGCTGAAATGCTTAGAGCAGCCACGCGGTATAAAGAGCTAGAAACAAAATATGCCTCCCTTGTCGATTTGGTCAACAACCAGTCTGCCATAATCACACTTCTAGAAGAACAGTGCATGATGGTCTTCTCCAGGAGGGATAGCCAGGGGTCACCACCTCTAGTACAGGTGGTGCCACAGCACATCCCAAACAGTCAACAGTATACACCTGGACTAGTAGGTGGCAATGAGATCCAAAGGGACACAGGATACCCAAGGGCCAGGGACAGCCGGCAGCCACCACAAGCTCCAGCGCCAACAGTCAGTCCATTTCGCGTGCCTCCAGTGACCGTGATCAATGAAGGTAATATTTATGATTACATACTAACACTAATCTGTAAAAATGTTTGACAGTAACTTCCATATACACACAGAATTCCAATTTAGCATTGCGGTGTCTGAAACATTCTGGTGGTTTTTTTAAAGATGTGTAAATTCAATATAATATTCCCAACCACAAGAGCTGCTCTAAATGCATATATCGTCAGCAGGCATTAACGCCTTTCATTCAACTGCACATCAAAAATGAGTAAACACATGCTAGGGATTAGTACCTAATCTGCCTTTCCTTCATTTTTGGCTTTTCTGCGGAAAAGTATAAACAAAAAAGCAGAATACATTTTTACTTTGCAGACAAATCTGATACTGTTCGGTAGATTAGAAATGTGTTTCTTACATATTTTATTCCTTTTAAAAAAAAAATTTGGAGTATCCCTTGTGTTCACTAGTCTGTCCACTATCTAAAGAAGACTTTGTAATGTCCACATAGCTGAAACACAAGTTTTATTTTTATGAAGGTGCTTAAAGTAAACCTCATGTGCATTGCACGTACTCTCTGATCCTGCACAGTGTGCAGATCAGCCAGCGACAAGCTCCATAGAAAACAAACTATAGGTATGCTGTGCATGGTCACTTATCCCTACAGCTTAGTGCATGATGTCTCAACGACCAATCTCCAGGCCCCAGCACTGTCAGGGTTTGGTTGTACCTAGCCATATGCAAATAGTTATGGAAAAGACAAATCTAAATGGTACTATTTGGCACTTGCATGCTACTTAACTACTGAGCCACTTTGCTTTCTGTGACCCAGAGATAAGGCTGGGTTCACACCTAGGCGTATCAAATATGCGCGCTTGTTATGCGTTTTTACAGCGATTCGCTGTAAAAAAAAACGCGCAACAAACACGCGTTTCCGAGGGCTACCTGGCTGTATCCCAATGGATACCCGCGGCAAATACGCCCCAAAGAAGCTCCTGTACTTCTTTCGGCATAGGGCGTTTTGTAGCGCGTTCATGCGGCCTGTAATACACCCAGGTGTGAACCATACCCATAGGAAATAATGGGATTTCGGTGTTTGAGTGCTTTGCAGAGCGTAGGAACGCGCTACAAAACGCCCAGGTGTGAACTGGGCCTAAGTGTACTTTAAACATGAACTGCCGATGCTGCTCCACAACAACCAGCCAAAGCATTCCTCAGACACTGGAAAATTAGTTCTGGGGGGTTAGCTTCCTTACAGAATTAACCAAAACCTGAAATCTCCTTTTTGGCCGAATGGACACAATTACAACATATCCTTTAGATGTTAGGTTATTGCTCTACTGTAATGTTACGTTTGCAATAAGTCCCTTTATCAGAAAACTAAACTTACAGTGAAAGGTTTTAATTGCACTCATTTACGTTGGACTATAAGAATTACCATGTATGCATTTGAATGTGCTCTAGTGCAGGTACATGCGTTGTAGGCTTCCTTGCAGGGTTGCATTTTCAGGGAAGCTTTCTCTCTGATGGAAATAGCCAGGGTATTAAATGCTCTTAATATTTTACTTGGTATCTTATGCAAGGTCAGGAAAAGCATAAAGTAGCCTCTGCGTGGTGACCGATCTGGTGAAACTAAAGCATGAATGAGAGCAATATAAACCAATACAAAGTGCAATAAACACAGAGGGAGACAATGTACAAGCCAGGACAATAACTGCATAACTGCAGAAACACTCACCAGTATGGTGTAATATGCAGATGGGAGAGTCACTGTAAATGATCTCAGGACTTTCTAGAATCTATCATTACATAGGGATGCAAACCTCATACATCGTCTCCACACAATGTGACATGTTCAGGAACAGCTATTTATTCTCTTCAGGCGTTTAAATGGTTTCATCAAAAGCTCAGATTAACTCTCTTCAAAATGAAAAAAGGTAAAATAATAATAGTTTGACCTCTGAAGTCTTTTGAGGAAGACTAGGAGCCTCTTGCACTCCAGCTGCTGTAACCACAAAATCCTATAGTTACGGCTGGCAGAGTATTACAACTACAGCAAACAACATGGTGTCAGACTGGACTTCTCCCTGCTGTACATTGTGATACACACAAGGCACCCTATAGAACAAATACAGATGTTTATTAATACACCAGCGGTGTCAGAGGCCTGCCAATGACACAAAGCTGTAAAGTATCTGGAGCATGTGTCTTATCTAGGCCAAGCATATCTACATACATCAAATATGTATCAGTATCCCCTGCCACAAAGCAAATCTCTTTTGGGATTCTCAGGCAGAGGAAACAGAACTGCAGAGTATGCTTACTGATTCACTAGACTGCACAGCCAAGTCAAAGACATAATATTTTATATTGGAAGAATAATTACAATCAGCAATTACAATGAAACTCTCACACGTCGGCTGAATAGATCGGGAAGTGAGCGAACACATACCGCCGCTCACTCACTTCTCGATCCTGTCCCTGCAGTGAGCGGTGATCGTCACTCACAGCTCCCTGCAGGGATTCCCCCTCCGATCCTCCAGCGCTGACTGGAGGAACGAACAGGGGAGGGGACGGGTACAGCTGGCTCTGCCTCTAGTCAGAGACAGCTGTCAATCACGCAGCTGGGTGGATCTCGTCAGTAATGTCGGGATCCGTCCCGGCTGCGGTGGTCTCAGTATACTGCGAGCTGCAGCTCGCGGCATACTGAGCTTTGGGTCACGGGAGGACGCTAGTTTATGTTCTCCCGTGGCCCTGAGGAGAACTATGGGGAATAACACTTACCCCATAGTTCTTCTTTAAGGCAACAAACACATCCCCATGTTTGTCAACTCCACTACTTGCAAATATCCGGCCAGCCTTAGACATTGTCATTGTAACTTTCTTTCATGATTATAGTCATGTTTTTACACATTCATTTATAAATGGTATTCATATCTGTTGAGTAAGCCACATCGTCATTGGTGTTTAGTGATCCTTGAAAGGGAGATTGAAAGGAAACATTTCACTCACTAATGTGCCCAGCAAACTTGTTATGGTAAAGAGGACCAACTTCTGTGACACTCACATAGTAGTAATATCTAAATTTATATGTTAACTCACTGCCCCACAAACATGCCAGCAATGTGCAAAACCGAAGGGCCTAGATGTGGGAGCGAGTTTACTGGGTCATATTTCTGGTTGAATTCAGTCCAAAGTAAACACGCTGGGAAAGATAAACCCAAGTAAAACAGGAAATTGTTTCTTTATTGTTGATCTACTGTGGAAAGTATTTTTAGGAAAATATTTAGAATGATATTTTCTGAAGAAAAATTTATCTTTCTGGAATATTTCTTAATAAAAGTAATTCATCATGTGCCGACACCTGTATGGAAAGGTTATGCTGAGCTGACCCCAATTCTGCACAGAGGTTACACATTCCTGATGTCCTTCTAAAGTATAAAAATGTAACCGTTTCACCTGCCAAAGAATTGGTATTTCTGATCATTCTGTCTATGTGATGAACATAATTCTACCATTCTACAGGTGAAACTCGAATAATTAGAATATCGTGCAAAAGTAATTGCAGTAAGTGCTGCAAAAGGGGCCCAAACCAAGTACTGAGTACATATGCATGCTTGTACTTTTCAGAGGTCTGATATTGTTCTATGTACAATCCTTGTTTTATTGATTGCATGTAATATTCTAATTTTCTGAGATTGTGGATTTGGGGTTTTCATGAGCTGCAAGCCATAATCATCACAATTATGACAAATCACGGCTTGAATTATCTTGCTTTGCATGTAATGAGTCTATCTCATATATTAGTTTCACCTTTTAAGTTGCATTAGTGAAATAAATGAACTTTGCACGATATTCTAATTATTCGAGTTTCACCTGTGTAGTCTGGAATACTATAACCTGGTTTAGTTTTTCAACATCCTGCATGACATGCCTGCTTACAGGACAATGATTCGAGGCAGTGAGGTGACTCAAATGATGGTAGAGGTGTTATCTGGCTGCCTGTAGGAATGATGAAAACACAGATTTAAATGGCAGGTGAAATGGATTGCTCAGTTCAATTGTGTATTCAGCTCTGTGTGGACTGTGTGGAGGTGTGTGAAATTGTATACATGCCTTAACATCCTCTATTATATACAGCAATATTCTAAAAGGCACGTAGGGCAGAATGCTGTGACTCCTGCAGAGATTTGTTAGATCTTACAGAAACCAGCTTCCAGTTAACACTCTTTGGTATAATGAAAAGTGCTTCATGGATGTAGGCTATTGCACTGTGCTAGAAAAGCATGCTGGAGATTACTCATATACAGGTGCTGCAAAAAGGCACAGGAATCTTAATGAGACCTGTCCATACAACTGTAACACGCCGTAGGGTCAGTTTGTAAGGAAGCCAATTAACATATTACACACTCTGTTACCCCATACAGTGTAACATGTCAGTCATATATAAATATGTGATATAAAGAGAATGGAGAAAATGAAACCCAGGATCTCAGAACTAGAAGTAACCTGAGAAACCTCTAGGCAATTCTAACTGGGTATGTAACAAAAAATACTTAAGAAGTTACCTTCAGTGAAAGCCACAACTCAAAAATCGGGCAGATCCACTGATATAGACAAACTGGAGATCTATGCAAATCTTGACTTTCCTTTCAAAGTCTAGCGGATCCCTGATCACCTCCTAAACCTCCCATTTGGAACTTGAGGCCGATTTACTCTAAAACCGTAGTGCTAACCACATCTGTATAAAACATGGGGTGGTGATATAAGAGAAAGGACCCCACTGAATTGTCACACAAATCAAATTGTTTATATTCAACCTGAAAATAGATTAACATAAAAAGAGTGAAACTAACACAACCACACTTTAAATCATATGATCCAAGAACAATATATTCTATGACAAAGACAGTTATTATCTAGACTGGCTAGTTGGGAAAATGTAACTATGTAATATAAAGACAGGCATTCTTTTTAATCGACATGTCCTAGTAAGGAAGAATATTGAGATGTTTCATGCTAGCTGTCTTCCAGCGAAGTCACATT